GGGGGGGAGAGCGGTGCGTCCAGCGCCTTTCAGCCTGAGGTAAATTTTGGCGAAGTACTCGATGGCCCCTTCTGGGAGGTGAGAAGGTTGTGTGACATAACCAGCCAGTTACACGTCGGTTGTTTTTCTAACCGAAGAGAATGTGTCTGGCGTGCCAGCTGTGAAGAACAGAGGTGCAGTAGAAGCAGTGAACGATGCTGAGGTGCCAACCGTAAGGACCGGCCACAGCCTGTGCAGCGGAGAGTGCTGCTCTGGCTGTTGTCGGTCTTTTCGGGTTCTGGGCGCTGTGTCTGCCCGCTCTTGGGTGCGCTGATGTTAGCGGCGCGCCTGCAGGTAGCCCAGGGCTTAGGTTTGCAGGTTGCTGTCAAAAGTCACCTTTCCTCGCAGCGAAGGAGAGATCGAGCAGCTGGGCTGCTATTTTTAAGTGCATTAGGACGAGTTTAAGGTCTAGTGTACTTCTGGGCCCGCGTTTAGTGCGGGTTTGGAGGGAAATATTTTCATTTTGAGAAATGCAGTGGGGCAGGTTCTGCCTCGAACAGTTCGGTGATGCAGAAAGTCATGTAAATGTAGACTGCTTAAAATCCAATCACTGATGTAAGGCTGCAGCAGATTTGTGATATTTTTGTCCTCTTTGTTCAGAGAATAACTTCAAAGTCACTGTAGTTCTATCGGTTAGAGAGGAAATTGAACTTAATATTGTGAGCAGTCACGTCTGTTCGTGTTCGGTAGCTTTTTGTGCTTGCCTGCTATACTTACCCTTTACTGCTAGTCTATATGTACCTACAGTATTTTCAGACTTCTCAATTTGGTGTTGCATGCTTTTGTCTTCCCGTGCCTTTTGGGAAGTCTTCGCCCTGAATCCGTGCAGTAACCTGTACTCTGAAACATGAAACTGTTACTCAGACAATAGCAGGTTATCTGAGGAGCGTAGATGCTTTCTGCTATAGCATCTTCAGATGCTAAATTGTTTTTGAAATATTAATGGGTATGATGAGGCGTTTGTGAAACTGTAAAAAGCACAGTGAAAATTACAGTGAAATTACAAAGATAGCAATCTACAGGACTAGTAAATGACTAACGAGCAGGTAAAATAACTCAAGGCTATTACATAGGAAGGACAGGTTCCTCTGCTGTGTGTTTCAGTCCCTTTTGTATAGACTTGGGCAGCTGATGGGGTTCATCGGGTTGTCTTGCAGATTCAACTGAAAATTAATCTTTTGTTTGTGGGGCTAATGGGGCTAGTCTCCAGGTGGCTTGGTAACCAGTGAACAAAGGGTTGATAGATTGTTAGAGCAGGAGGTTTTAGGTTATCAGGTAGCTAGCAAAAGAACAGAGGGAAGATGATTGCTTCTGATGACTACACTGGCTTAGTTTAGAAAAAGTTGTAAACCACAGTGAAGTGAGTATTTATGTATGACTTAAAACTACAGTATCCTTACAAGTATAATATGTTGTTGGCTGCAGATATCTGTACTTATATAAGGGGAAACTTATTCCTAGTATGAAGAGAGTTGAAACATTCAGAACTCATCTCTACAAGTTTCTGAACATCTGATGCAACTCTGAAGTTAGCCTTGCTTTTAGCAGAATTTGGACTAAAAGGGCTGTAAAAATCTCTTCTGACCTTAATTATGCTATGAATATCTTGAGGTAAGTGGCTACAACTTAACTGTTACTATGAAGGTTGGTACATTTGCTCATGGTTCATAGGAAAATCTTGTTGAAGTTTGCTCACAGGTTTTTATTGGAAGTTTATGCAATTAAGTGGAGTGGTAGAAGGTTTGTTACCTGATTAACATAGAATGTTCTTTAATTTCCTGAATTCTCATTGATTTTTAGGACAAACTGAAGCATGACTGATACAGAAGAGTCCCAGGCTTCTGGCTCCGATTACCCTGATGCCCAAGAGGTGATACGCAGCCGGCAGAAAGAACCATATAAGGTACATGCGTGTGAAACAAATACACAAACGGAGTGTTCACGTTCAAGGCAGAAGAATGCTGTTCCTGAGGAGTCTTCAGATGATCTTAACAGTATATTTGAATCTTCAGCTGAGGTTTTACTGGACAGCAGCGATTCAGAAATGTGAGTTTTTATCTCTAGTTCAGAATTTTCCATGTGAAGAACCTGTGTCATTTATCATAAAAGTATACATTCTTTTGAAAGTAAGTATTTTTTCTTCTTCTTAGTGATCTCTGTGCTGCTAGTGGCAGCAAGCACCATCTTAAGTGCTCCATTGCACCTTCAAAGCAAAAAAGGAGACTTCAGTCTTCAAAACAAGCTGAATCTGTTGCAGGAGTGCCTGACAATGGAAGCTCTTCAGATTCTTCTCTGTCCCCTCAAAGTCCGGTGAAATCATCTGAAATTTCCATGAAGCAGAAGTCAAAATTCAATTTGAAAGCCATTTTTGCCTATCACTTCAGGGGAAAGAAGTTTAAGGCTGCTGCACACCGAAAGTATAAGCGTGGCTCAGGCAAGAAGAAGTATGTGAGCACACAGATGCCTGCAGGGAGGCCACCACTGACAGCCTCACCTCAAGAGCAAAAGAGAAGGCTTCTACACAGAGGCTTTCAATTCCCTTTTGTTGAAAAACATTATGGGAAGAAACATATTCCCTTAAAGATGGTTCTTGGCTATGAGGTGAGTCCTCTGTTTTGTGGGATAATGTATTTTATTTAGTCTAAAAAAAAATTAAATTAGCTTTTACCTCATATACTACAATAAAACAATGAAACAGTTTTTACTTTGTTAAACAGGACGCTTGATGATGTCCGTTTAAAAAGTTTTAAGATAAACACAGATAAAATACAGGTGTCAGTATATTACAATTCAGTTCATAATATAAATGCTTTATAGTGGTATTTTTAACATCTCACCTGATGCATTTTTCTTTAGCAAGCAGCTGCAAAGGGATACTTCCAGTACATTGAAATGCTTAAATATGAAGAACATCTTAAAAAAGCTCTAAAAACCCTTCAGGCTAGTGAAGACTTAGAAAGAGAATGTCTGGTGCTACGGAAACACAAATATTTAGATGATGAAGGCCCCATTTCCCCTATTCAGGAGACGAAGTAAGTTCATCTTTATATTTTCAGGGGGTATAAAACTTGCTTTTTTGTTCTTAATTAAAATATGAGTTTATGTGTGTAGAGGTAGATGCATGATACCCCACCCCCACAACTCTCGGTCACCTTCAGCCTGTTTGCTGGTGTGGGGACAGCATCAACACGGCTTTAGTTGCAAATCCAAAACACAGCATCATACAGGCTGCTACAAAGAAAGCTAACTCCTCCCAACCAGACCAGTACAATCTGCTGCTCTTACAGTTGAGGAATTCAGGAGGTAGTACAGTTGCTTGTAGTAGTGTGCGATTTTGTGACAGAGTTGTAGGTATATCAAGTTCAGTTCCTATGCTGTCCTTTTAGCTTATATCAGCATCATGTAATCTAAATGTGAATATCTGCTTATGAAAGAATTCTTTATTTTTTGGGGAAAAAAAAAAAAAAAAAACAACAAACAGCTGCTTGGCATTCTGTGATTGTAAATATAACTTGGAACTTCTTGTAGAATGGAATAATTTTAATCTGAAGACCGGTCACTTTCAAAAGGTGATTTGTACTGCGTCATTAAAATGATGTGGCAATGTTTCAAAAAAAAAGAAAAAGGTACTTTCCTGAGATCAGTTCCTCTATAGTTATCCCAAATAAAGATGTGTAGTGTTCTATGTCAAAGACTAAAGAATGTTTTTTAATTTCCTTTTTACTTTATTAAGCATTGAAGTATCATCTTAAGTTTACTGACCGTAAAGAAGGACCTAAGTGCAGTAAAAAGGGATCAATCAATCAGCAAGAATAACTAATGTAAATATACTCGGCACCTTAAAACTAGAAAGCCTAAAAGACAGTGTAAACATACTAAGCTGTCTTTCAGCTACTGTTCACTTTAGAAATGACTTACACTGCTGATTTATGTGAGTTGAAGCATTATGGTGAGCCTGTAAAATGAGTAACTAGTTGGTTTGCTTTCTTACAAAAGAGCAGAAGAAAGCTCTATAGAGTAAATGCAAGCCAGCTCATCCAGACCCTCAGTTCTTCATATTAAATGAGTACTAGAAAACAGAAGTCTGTCTTCTGTCAGGTTTTGGAACCAGTCCTTATGGTGCCACTTGTTGAAACCATAGTACTAAAATGGCTTCATCTCTTTCTGTGGAGTTCTTTCTGTCTTGAGAGAAAAACCTGTGGACACAGTGTAATTTCATACTTGTGTTTCATGGCAGTATGGAGATAATACTTCTCAGTTGTAGTATCAGGAAGATAGCCACGTACTCTTGTTAGCTGAGGCCTCTTACTTTCTTTGTATTCTGCTTGTTTTCTAACTTGCTGACTTTCTGGCCTGTTTGCCAGTGTAATCCTAAATGTCTCAATACCGCTATTGATGTGTAGTACTAAATCTTCATTCTCCTATTAAGTGCTGCATCTGTCCTGCCAGTATTGGTAGTTGGGATGCAATTCTTCTGTCAGAAACTATCATTTGAGAACATCCTCATGTAGGAGTATTGTCTTGCATCTACAAGCTGTAACACTTCCATACATATTAAGAGAAACCAGAGCTTGTAGTAGGAAAATAGTTCACACTTTTTAGGCTACTATAAAAGTAAAGAGCTTGATTTGAATTTCTGTGTTTCAGTGATGATGATGACAGCTTGAATTCTGATAATCAAGAAGACTTTGATGCCAGAGTAGTGGTGAGTAAATAGTCCCTAACTTCACAAACTCTCTAACCTTCTTTTTCTTTTGAGGTTAAAAGAATTAGGAGATAATCAGTACTTAACTCGAGCTTAGCTCCAGAGGTAGTTGTATGATACCTGTGAATCTTGATCTTTAATGCAGAAGGAAGTTCTTTTGAGAGTCCACGCTGTCCTGTTTGGAAACAATGCTGTAATTTCTAGGAATTCTAGAGTTCTTTGAAGAGTTCTAAGTCCGCAAAGTTACTACCAAAATCTTACCTTTTGAGCATCTCGAAACTAGACTTGTGAATACTTCTGTCTTCCATTTCTTTAGGAGAACAGCTCTTTCATTATAAGCAGCAAAATTCCCAGCAAGAAAAAATCAAAGCTAGAAGTGAAACATGTGAAATCAGCTGAAGTGATTGTAATAGAGGAGGAAGACGACTGTGCTCCTGAGAACTCTGGCATTCTGCAGGGTTCACCTCAGTGAACAGAAAACTAACAGATGAGGTGGCAGTGGTCACTCTTCAGATGCCTTTTGCATGGCATACTTGGTTTAAAACATTGGTCTGAAGTCAATGTTGAGCTATCAGCCAAGCAACCTAGTAAGATTTGGTTTAAGGTGAGTATGAGATCATTGCAGGACAAGTCTAATCTATCTTTTTGCTAAGCCAAGTGTCTTCTATACTATGCTGTGTCAGCTGTATAATATCCTTAATTCAGTGGCTGATAATATTGCTGAAATGCTGGCTTCTGCAACTTCTGTTAACCAATGAATCACAGAATTTATGTGATTAAAAAATAGGAAAACAAGTCCAAATATTGTAACATAGAAGTATAGAAGAATGTTATGCATTTTCATACATACATATACATGCTTATGTCACAAAGGGCATTTTTGAGCCCTTTTCTCTTTCATAGCTGACTCTTTTTGCGAGTGGTACTTGAGGGATTATTTTTCTATATCTTAAGGAAATGCAGGTAATACTTCAGAGTACTTCAAGAGCTGAGTAAGGCTTGATGACAGAATTGAAGCTTAATGCAAATCTTTGTGCTAACAGTAAAAATGCAGAAGTCATTAGTCAGCTTGGACAAAAGTCTATTGCAAAATATGGTTAATGCATTGGAATGATGATAACATCAATTTGTAAGATTGAGGTTGTCTATTCCATGCAGAATAACTTTGCAGAAGACTAATTCTCTGCTCCTGAATCTAATACAATAATCTGAAGTTATAAGTTATCTTAAAAATAACTGTAGCAGCATAGTTAATCTTAGATAAAGATTCTTTTTCCCCTCTTGCCGTCCTCTGTCCAGAATGGGGTCTGATGTGAATGTGACTGAGCAGAAGATGAAAGCTCTTTGTAATGACAGTACTTAACAAGCATCACCCCAGTTGTAAATACCTTTCTCAAAGGTGTTTTAGACAGCTGGAAACATGACTGGTGAATGTTTAGAAATGGTCTGAATGCAGCTAACTCCTAGATGACAAGGCTGTCTTGGTAGCAGTAGAAATAAAAAAAAAAGTTTGAAAAGTTTCCTTGTGAATCAAGGAGATGTAAATAACCAAAGGGTGATCTGCCTCACTCAAATACTCCTTAACAACTGAATCTCTCTCAACAACAAATGAACAGCTGTTAAGCAGGTAAATGTAGTCTCTGCTGAACAGGGATGTTTTCTGCAAAAGACTTAATACCTACCAGTTTAATTTCTGTCAAAATGTAATTGACAGTCTAAGGAGGTTTACAGTAGGTGCTCAGTATGATGAGAGTAGGTCAAGTTGCATTCCTTATATGCTTGAATTAAGGTCCCAGATCTTCATAAAGGAGTTTGGGGTTTCCCACTTGCAACTTGGTAGCTCTAGGGACTAAGACTGCAAAAATTACTCTTCACTAATTGAAGATCCTGTTTAATACTGGTCCCAAATTAATGGCTAAATGTAACTCTTTTAGGCATCTACCTGAGAAATACTCTGTATGGCTTGAAAGACTCATCCTGGATCTAGGAGTGGGGTTCTTGCTTGGTAAGGCATAGCGAGGTGGTATGTGGAGTCTCGCTCATTCTGCAGTTCATGTGATGAATTTTTCTGTTCAACTGCTGAGTGACTCAGAAATGAACTAAATTTCAATTCTGATTAGAACTGGATAAATACACATGAAAATCAAGGTTATTACAACTGTTAAATTGATTTCTGAACTGTAGCTTTTAGCTTTAGGAATCTTCAGTTATTTGACTGTATGTGATAGTTCTTATCACTTTGCTTTTTTTCTTCTAGTTCATGTTGCTTTTGGAAGATGAAATACTGCTAAATTTTCTTGGAGGTGCAAGGTAAGCTATTAACTTTGTTTGCAGTTCCTGTTTTCTTCAGGTAGCTTTTTTGCTTTATTTCACAAAATGTTTTGAAAAAAACAGTATTTGATAGTTCAAGTAAACACATTACAATGTTTCATAGCTGCGTAACTGCTGTGTGAAGCTTCCAAGGTATGTCTGACAAAAATTAGAGCCTTTAGCCTCTGCTTGCGTGAAAACTAAATTTTGAATTCTTGAACACCTGTATATTAAATGCAGTTTTTATTAGAAGTTATATATAGAAATATTTTGGTTTTACCTGTTGTTAATGCTGCAGCGCAGCTTAATCTGATGTGGTTTGGACACTACCTGGGATCTTCTCTGCTGAAGATGTTGGAGAGCTACTATAGATATAGTCTCCTGGTGGTGCGCCACCCACACTTTCTGTAGTGCAGCTTCTGATTGCTTCCCTCTGGTAAAACTTCATCTTAAAGCATGTCCCATGCAAGAACAGGAGGGACAGCAGAAAGAAGGTGGTGGTCTTGCACGCATGTATTGCTAAAGTTATGAAATTTGTTATCAAGTTTCTGTGGCTTCAGGAGAGTGTAGGAAATAGCATGGAAGATACCACTATGTAAGATTACTGGACAGGCAAACATCTTTAACATGGGAAGCCCTGATCTAAAGCTGGGCAACTAATGAAGCCTTACAAGGACATAGTTACGTAAGAAGATAGGAACAGGGCATCTTATTTGGCCATTGCTGTAGTCAGGGTACTGGGCTAGATAACATCGGTTTGACACAGCATAAATTGTTCATAAATGGTATATCTGATACTGAACTTCTTGGCACAGTTAACTTTAGTCCAGACTATAACTGTCTCTAAAAATAGAAAACGTAGTAGCAGAAAATGACAGCTATTAATGGTAAGTATATAGTAAACTGAGGAATAGCTTCAAATGTTCTTTTGAAAATAGTGGGAAAATGAAAGCTGATGCATTCAGTCTGTTCTAGCACGTGTTCAGTTTTTGTCTGTTGCTGTCGACAAAAACCTGGAACCTAGTGCTTAGAAAAAACCCTTCTTTTGTAACCCACAGCTGATGAACATATTAGTTGTGTTACTTATATGAAGGGACAGTATTTGCATGTATTCAAACAACAGTTCATTCAAATACTGATGAACCTAGGGCATGAGTTTCGTGTTCCAGACTTGCAGAAGTGCAGTTATATCGATTTCTTTCCAGACTCTGCAGATGGACACACCAGATCTGCAGCAGTGAGCCAGCAGTCATAATATCTGTGGGCTGCTTCAGTTCTGAACAGCTGCTTGCTGGCCTTCTGATGTACAAATCATGCTGTGTATGTTGTGGACTTCAGTGGACGTCAGTGGAATGTGTCAGCAAAAGAGGTAGGCTTTATGTTTCTCTTGAATTTCAAAGTAAGAGTGTTAAATTTCTTCAAACAAATACTATTTCCACAGCAAGTAAGCAGACTGATTTGTGCACTGTATGGTATCTGCATCCAGCAGTATCTTCCTGACAGGGTGTTCAAAAAGCAGTGCTACAGTATTTCAGCAGCTGGCATCGTTGGTTTTCATGCAGATGTGCTGGTTAAACTTGGTATTTCTGTTGAAACAAAAGTAGGTTGAAAATTTCTTATTTGGAATCTTGTCAAGTAGAAAATTGAAGAACTGTTGAACTGTTATAGGATAAAAATATAGTTAAATTGATGACTTTGTTCCAAAATATTTCTTCTTAAGGGGGTGTTCCTGTGATGTCTGGAACACAGTGGAAAGCCTCTACTTAAGGGTAAGTATAGAGGAAATAATTGTTTTTTCCTAGATGGAGGTAGTTGGATGAGGATCATAAAAGCTCAAGTCTTAGCTTTTTCGTTGTCTTTTTACAAAGAAACAGTATCTTATTTTGAAACAAAAACCCAAGTACCAGATGGCAGCTGGTGACACGTTTCAAAGTTAACTGGCTATGCTTCAAAACCAGAAGCTATTCTGCAGACATTGTGAGGAGTTAATTGTTGTGCCTCGTTATTCAGCAAATAGACACAATTCACTGTGTGTCTGAATTGAAAAACGTGGCTAGAATAGTAACAGGTTGTGCTTTCCTCACTGTAAACTTAATTGCAGTGGTGACAATGAGACCTGTAACAGGTTTACTTAGTGGGACAATTAGGCAAACACAGTTAAAGATGCAGCTACTGTAAAATCCCAAGGATTAGCTTGTTTTGATGTTTTTAAATTCTGCATTCTGCCCACTAAAGGAAGTAGAATTAGTGGGTAAGAGGGAAGATACTTGCCGTGCTGCATTATTGTAGATGGCTTATTAGAGCATGTTTGTAAGCTGTCTTAAAATAGTATGTGGTGTTTTCCTTACATCACAGTACAGCTGACTGTTAGGTAACTCCTGTAGTTGTACCTTCTGTGCCATAGTGCTCCAGTTTCTTAAATTGCAGATAAATTTTGTTGATAGTTGTGTGATACCAGGCCACGGCAAGAAATGTTTTGTTTTGGCATTAGCATTCAGATGGTGTAACTGGACTACAGTTTTCCTGCTTCATACTGTGAAGTACCTAAGTCTTCAAAAATTACTAAAATACTGAAGCAACTTAAAACTGCTACTCAGATACAACAATTTACTTCTTTTTAGGAAGTCCACATGATAGTCCAGTCTGAACTAGCATCTTGGTAAGTTGGTGTGACAAATTGTTTTTTAACCCTTGTCTGTCGCAGGTGAGCTATCTTTCTTTAACTCAGTGAGCTGGTTATATTGCTGGTTTTTCTTATTGAGAAGGTGCAGTGTTGCTTTAAAAAACATAGAGCTTAGCTCCCCCCAGCTTTAGAATGCTGTGAGAAAATTGTTGTGATGATTGGCAAAATGTTCAACTGCTCTGAAAAGAGTGAGCGAGAATAGCCTTTCTGAACAAATTTACTACATGAGCGTCCCTTTCATGTCACTTTATTCTGGGCATCTGAGTATTTAACAGGCAGTTTTTTGTATCAGTTATTACTTTCTTTTAAAAATAAACAGGAAACTACGAAGAGCTGTCAAATTAAACAGGATAATATTCAGGCATTATAGTAGCTTAAAGCATGATTCCAAATACAGGCTGTCGGGAGTGCCTGTGGAGGTTAGAAGCACTTAAGTACAAAACAGTGCTCTAGGTTCTGCTGCTCTGTGTGCACATAAT